ACGAGACGGGCGACGGCTTCTTTGCCTCGCAGGAGGACGTCCTGACCCTGCAGAGGTTCCTGCAGGCGGTCGAGAAGGAGTACCTTCCCGTGCCGTTCCACAGCTTCGCCCACGCGGCGGACGTAGTCCATGGCGTGGCGCGCCTCATGCGGGTCACGGGCTCGGAGCACTTCCTCAGCGAGCTGGAGCAGTTCTCGCTCCTCATCGCCGCCGTGGCCCACGACATCGGGCACCCGGGCGTCAACAACGGTTTCCTGTCGGAGGTCGGGCACGAGCTTGCTCTCGAGTACAACGACAGGTCGCCCTTGGAGAACATGCACTGCGCCAAGCTCTACAAGATCGTCGCCAACCCTCAGGCGGACGTGTTCGGGAAGCTGACGAAGGAGCAGCGCAAGGAGGTCCGAAAGCACTGCATCGAGACGATTCTGCACACCGACATGACGATGCACACCTCCATGGTGAAGGACCTGCAGATGCTCTACCAGATGAACATGGAGGTATTCTTAAGTCGGGCGTGTCCCTCTACAGGGGGAATATTCAAAAATAGTCCAAAAATAGTCGAGGGACGATTTGTTGATTTTTGTTGAGCATTATTGGAGTATCCGTTGAGTTTTTCTTAAAACATGTTTTTCGTCGAACATCGGCCTGTTGGGGGACAGTCCCGACCTAAAGGTATTCTCGGACGAGTCGCCCGACGACGCCCAGGCGGGCCCGGTGGCCCCCGCCGAGATCGCGGTCTTCGGCGAGGCGAAGACCCTCGTGATGGAGGCCTTCCTGCACTCGGCGGACGTCTCCAACCCCTGCCGCTCGTGGGAGGTCACGCAGCTGTGGGCGTGGCAGTGCCTCGAGGAGTTCTTCTCGCAGGGCGACCAGGAGAAGGAGAAGGGCATCCCCGTGCAGTTCCTCAACGACCGGGACAAGCTGAACAAGCCGCACTCGCAGATAGGTTTCATCGAATTCATGATCGCTCCTTTGTTCGCGGCCCAGCTTCGCCTGTGGCCGCGCATGCACGAGCTCGGCGACAACCTGGGCAACAACATGGCAAACTGGAAGGACATGTGGGTCGAGCAGACCTCCCCGGGCGAGGAGGAGAAGGCGAAGGTGGTCGCGCGTGCAAGCCTTCCTACTTCCTATCCGTGGAGAGGTCAGCAAGGAGCTGGGGAGGAGGATGGGGAGGAGAGGAGGAGGAGGAGGAGGGAGGAGGAGGCAGGATGAGGAGAGGAGGAGGAGGAGGAGGAGGAGGAGGAGGAGCGCAGTAGGGGGAGGAGGGGGAGAGGGAGGGGAAGGAGGAGGAGGAGGAGGCGGAAGAGGAGGAGGGGAGGAGGAGGGGCTGAGGAGGAGGAGGAAGGAGGAGGAGGAGAGGAGAGGAGGAGGAGGAGGAGGAGCGTGTGGAGAAGGTCCGGAAGAGCCTGGAGGACTCCATCAACCGCACGCCGCTGTGAGGGCGTGCGGCGGCCCCGCCGACTTGGCCTGCGCCGCGCGGGCCCGTCGTTCGAGGGAGGAGGCACGCGGACCATGACCAGGATATCGCAGGATCTCGTCGACGCCGATGCTGGTCATGCTCCTTAGCTGGCCATCGCCGATTCGCGAGGATGATCCACGAGCCGACGCTGGTCAAGACGGACGGTGGCCAAGATCGACACCTGACGTTCCCGCGTTCGTTCCTGTTCGTGGCCCCCGCTCTCTTCCCCTCCAGTCCGTGCCTGGACTTGTGTGGTGCGGGCGGCTGTTCGCGAGGGAGCGGCTGCAGGGGAGCAGACAATGACATAGCTAGGAGGCCCGCACGGATTCAGGGCTCTTCTCGATTCCCCTAATTCGATTCTTTTCGATTTCGGTGGATTCTGATTCCGAGTCGATTCGACTTCGAATTTCGATTTGGATTCCGACTTCTCACTGAGGCCTTACTGCTTTTCCGATTTTCGCCGATTCGATTCCTCCCGACCTGGCTGCCGATTTCCGCCGATCCGATTCATTTCGATCGCCGATTTGACTCATCGATTCGATTCTGATCTCTCCTGCGGAGTTCTTGGATCGGCGCTGGACCCCCCCAGGCGCTCGGAGCGCGCCAGGGGGCGTCGCCTGAGGCGCCGCTATAGAGGTGCCCTGCGCCGGTCTGAGAACTTTGCGCGGACCTGCAAGCTTCTTGTGTCTGTGCCATGGTCTGTTCCCCGAGGCTGCGCGATCCACCTGCTGAAGGCGCCACGCCTGCCGGCGCTCTCCCTTCCCGCGCCGTCTGGGCGTCGCGCTATGGGGGGGGCGATCAATTGGGGGGCAGCGAGGGCTGCAGAAAAGGGGCCCCTTTGGGGCCCCTGATGCGGCATTTTGGGTCGGAATAACGAAGTTATTGCTTGGCACAAATCCGCCCGCGCTGTGAACGACCCCGCGGCTGGCCGCGGGGGCGCCCCCGCTCGGCTGGTCGGCCGCGCGCTGGTCGACCCTCTTCCGCCTCCCGCTCGCGTCGTGTGGTGCAGTGCCGTGCCGTGCTTCCTCCGCCTGGCACTGGGGCGGGATATAAATACCGTGCCGTGTGTCGGGTTTCGGCCCTCCGCCCTCTGGGGGCTTCGCTCGGCCCATAGTGGCTTCCTTGCGGCCCTTAGTGGCTTCGTTGCGGCCCATAGCGGCCTGCTGCGTTCACGTGCCCAATGGGGCCCTCTCTTCTGGTCCATAGTGACCACGAGCTGTCGTTGGCACGCTCTCATTCGTCACCATGGCGCGCTGGCATGCAAGCGAGCGGGCTTCAGCTGGCGTGGTTCTCGCTCGTGCCCCGTGCGCTGTGATTGCGATGGCGATGCTTGCCTTCTTGCAGTCTGACCCTGTTGTGGGCGCGAAGTGGACTGATATCCAGTTCAAGGGCGCCATTGATTGCCTGGCAGCCAAAGGGCTGACGATGCCAGAAGAATTGGCCAATCTTCAATTCGGCGATTTGAAGGATGCCGATGGCGCGACGGCGCTGACGAAGGGCGTCCTGCGGCGCGCTCTGGATCGCGCGACGGTGGCGGCAGCCAAGGCGAGTGCGCCGGGTGCCGCGGGGCCTGCGCCGGCTTCGGCGGGTCGTTTCGGTTCGGTTGCTGCAGAATCCTGGGCTCCCGCCGAAGGGAGAGCATGTCGACATCGGCGCTGGCCTGGCCCAGATCAGCTTGAGGGACCTTCCGGTGTCCCTGTGGCCGAGGCGGCCGCGCGGCTTCGCCCCGGCGCGCTGGCGCGTTTCCATCGTTCGCTCAGGTCAGCGAAGACCGATGCGCTGGCCACCGAGGTGCAGCGCGCGAAAACCAGGGGAATCGCGCGCCCGTTCATTTATACTGAGCTCGCGAAGTTCCAGCCGCTTTGCGCGCGCGGCGCGGGCGGCTCTCCCGACGATGACGAGCCCGAGTCGAAAGAGGCGGCCGCGTTGGCCAGAGCGTTCGGACGGGGAACCGCGGCGGAGAGCCAGCCGCTTCTGGCGTGGACGCCATTGCACCAAGCTTACGACGCGTGGAGCGTGGCGGCCGCGGTCACTGATCAGATTTCGTACACGAGCGCCATGGCTCACAAACACGTTGTTCTCCAGGCGAGTCGACAATGGCGCCCGTCCGCTGGTCGCCGAAGTGGGCGCGCTTGCCCAGGTTGCACTGGATGCCCCCCTGCAGGGACGGAAGGCCCAGGTTGCCTTGGTCTACGACCGCCTTGTGCGGAGGACGTGGGCCGAGCGTGCCGCCGCCGGCGCGGCAGGCTTCCAGGCCGCAGCTCCGCGCCATGCTTCGGCGCGGTATTCTCGGGCGCGCGTCGGCGCGCAGGTGAACGTTGCGGCGCTGTCGCTTGACGTCGGGCTGCTCCGCGCGGCGGAAGCGGAATACGATCGGGCTCTTAAGGCCACGTCGCCGAATCCCTTGTTCGCGTTGCGCCACCGCTGTCGCGCAGGTTGCCGCGCCGGCCGGCAAGGGTGCAGGGAAAAGCGCCGCGGCAGCGCGCGGGCAGAGTGCGAGCGCCGCGAGCGCCGCGGGCGCCGTGGGAGCCGCGGGGGGCGCAGCCGTCACTTCCTGGAAGAACGACCGCGATTCCAGAGCCGACGGGTGGCAGTCCCGATCCTATCGCGGGGATTACAACAAGCGCTCCTGGGATTCGCGAACGGTGTATTCTCCTCAGAAGAAGCCGCGCGCCTGACGCCCGCCGGAGGCACGCGCAGCCCGCGGCGCGCGGCGATGTGCGGGACGCGCGCCGATGAGGACGAGCATCGCGCGCCACGTTGGCATTTGAATAACAACGAATGGGCGCCAACCTCAGCCACCGTCCCGTGGGACCCGCAGGCGCGCGCGCGCGCGCTGGCAGGAGGGCGCCGCGGTGTTGCCGCGTCGTCCAGGGCTTGGGTGCCAGTCAACACTCGCGGTCCGTTCGCGACGCGAGGGCCGCCCGCCCGCTGGGCCAGGAGGCGCGCGAACGCCCCCGGCAGGCTCGAGCGCTCGCGCTCGCAAAGCGCAGGATGCGATGGGGCCCAGTATCGCTGCCACATGGGATTATCAGGCGCTGCGCGTTGTGGCGCGCGACGCTCGCGGGATCGCGCGCCCGGCAGAATGCTGCCTCGAGTTGCAATGCACGCGGTTGCGCGCTGGCCACTGCCGGCTGCTGTCACCTGCCGTCGCCTGCGTCTGCTGTGGAAGCGCCTAAGCTCGCCTTTCTTGAAGAGGTCCTCTCCCGTTCTCACTCCTTCGAGGACAAAGAGGCCTTTGAAAAGGCCGTGGTGGTGCCCGGCGATGTTTTGGCGGCGATCGATTGGATTGCTGCGCGCTCGGAGCGGCTGGTGTGCCGTGAGCGGCGAGCGACTCTCGAGCGAATTCGGGCCAGGGACGCCGAGCTACGCGCCTCTGGAGCGACGGCGGCCTGGTTCGCGGGCTGCGATGCACATGTGCGCACAATCGCAGGGTCGATCAACGGCCCTCTTCTCGTCGAACTGCTCGACGAAATCGGTTACGAGGACGCGGCCTGCGTGGAAGTCTTTCGGCGCGGCGCGCCTCTCGTGGGCCCTCTCCCGTGCACAGGGAACGGGCGTCCGGAATCTTTCCCTGTACCGCTCAGCCTGCCGGACTTGGCCGCGGGCGCGGAGCGAGGCAACGCCGCGCTGCTCGGCACGCTCAAGGAGTATAGCGACTCCGCCGTGATTCTCACCAAAACTATCGCCGAAGCGGAGCTCGGCCGAATGAGCCATCCCGCGCCGCTCAGCGCGGTCGAGCTCGACGGTGCGGTTTTGTCGCCGCGGTTCGGCGTCCGGCAGTCGAGAGAGGACGGGACCGAGAAGCTGCGGCTCGTAGATGATATGTCGCGCTCTCGTATCAACGCGGCGTCGCAGCCGACGGAGCGTCTCGGCCATGAAGCCATCGACGCTCTGGTTGGCACTTGCAAGGCAGTTGTGACGCGCGTGGGCGAAGCGCCCGGGCTCTGGAAGGCGGACATAGACGCCGCGTTCCGGCGCGTGCCGCTGTTGCCGGAACATCGCGCCCTCGCATGGGTCGCGTTCCTCGTGGGCACATGCGTCTTCGTGGCTCAGCACTTCGCCGCCCCATTCGGAGCGACTTCCTCCGTTCACAGCTGGGAGCGCATCGGCGCGATGCTGTCAGCGCTGGGCCGCAGGCTCATTTTCGTTCCCGTCCTCAGATATGTGGACGA